ATCAGCTCGTGTTACGTCGTGCTTGATTCAGTGTTTGACAGTTGTTTTGTTATCTAACCTTGGGCAAACATGTTTCAATAAAGCCGTATCACTCAGTCCAAACAAACGCTCGGCCGTATTCGCATCGCTTATATTTCCAAGCTCACATTTCAGGGGCCGCTTATTTTGGGCGTTCACCGGAACATACGCAGTCTGAAATAACAGCGGGAACAACCGTATGGAAATGGCAACCGGACGGAGGGGTCCGTGCTGCCGGAACACGTTGGATATAAACACAAACGGTGCTTTCGTGTCCGGTAACATAGTTGACATCGACCGTATGATTTTATTCCCTATCATGAACTGTTGAATACTGTAAAACACTTGACAGATATTTCGTTGTAAACGACTGTGATTTCAAATCTCAATTACAAAATTCTGTTTAATGGTTACTTGTTAGCACAAAAATCTTGGCTACATCTTGTTTGTTAACCGACTTCAAAAAAAGGAGGAGGTTCTCAATTCGACTGTAGTTTTTTTTGTATGTTAATTACGCGATAACTCCGGTATTTGTAAACCGATTTTCATGATTCTTGTTTGTTGGAAAGAAGGTACCTCCCTAGTGGTCCCATATAATTTTGAAGAAAATCCACCTCTGACTGGTGCTGTGGCTGTTCACGTATGAAGTTTCATTTTTATAAATAGCGCCTAAATTTTAGTTTAAGGAGCAATTATTTTAATGGTTGATTTTGCTATTCTTTAATTCAAGGCGTTTATCTCTCAATATACTTTGAGTAGTGAGAACCGATTTTTACTATATCCTGTGTCAAGTTCCGTATAGTGGCGAACTAGGAGATGAATCCGGGTTTGCGCACTTTCCGGTAACCAATTTCAATAAAACTACGTAATTATAAATGTAATTCCACGTACTTTTGAGGTCGGTTTTTTTAGTACTCTGTACTGAGATTATTATATTTCAATTCTTCAACATAATTCATAAGAAATCTAATAGGTAAAACAAGGCAAAAACGTCGTTAAAAACAAAAAATAAAGATCAGCAACAAACCCATAAAAATTAGTACGGTCTGCTTTGGTTTGTTCCGTAGCTTAGATGGGATAGCGTCAGCCACGGTATGGTGAAGGCGCTGATTGGAGTCCAGCCGGATCGAAGAAATTTTTCTTTGTGTTAATAAAATTATAACAAACTAGTGAAGAAATTTCACAAAAATAAATTTAATATGGTAGTAAAACATTGTGGTTATTATTCAACTAACTTCATGTTATACTCTTATATCGACACATTGGCTATTGATTCTCTACCCTTGTATGATATAACAATGTACTAAAACTCCTCGAAATATATTATTATCTAAATGAGAATTTCAAAATGAGTTGTTACGTACATTTTTCTTACCTCCTCTGACAAGTAAGAGTTGGATCGCATCAACAGTTAATCCTTTAGTTTCAGGTAGAAAGAATATGGAAAAGACCCCCAATGCAAAACCAAATGCCGCGAAGAGGTAAAATACAAGACCGGTTCCAAGATATATCTCACATGGTTGATAGATAAATACAACTAGAAAAGTTACCACCCATCCGATTTCTATGATTATCATTGACATAATGCTGCTGACCTGAAAACAGATATGAGGTCACAAAATATGAAAAATGGAAATTTTCTTTGGGATTGAAAATATTGATGAGTTCGTAGGTTGTCGCGATTCTTACACATTGAAAATGAAACTACTTTAAACCGACTTCAAAAAAAGGAGTTTGTCAGTTTGACTGTATTTTATTGGGATGACTCTTTGTGAAACGATTTCGATGAATTTTTTGTTGGAAAGGGGGTACCTCAATAGTGGTCCCATTCAAATTTGAACAAAATGTTCCACCTCTAAGGCTGCTTAGAAATTGACTGCACTTTTGCTGTTAATGCGTGAAGTCGTAATCAATTTCATGCAGCCGACACCACGACTGCATGAAGTTCACAATGACTAAATGAATTTAAATTTTTTTCATTCAACCTAATTTTTTTAAATTATCATCCGCCAATGCCGTACAATGTTCTTCCTAGTCTCTTTAATGCATAGACTACATCTGCATGGCCGTAACGATTTTCCTTGTCGCATGCTCCGTGTAGGTACATTTTCTAAAAATACTTTTAAAACGCCTCTCGTTTCTTCGTAAATTAAACCAGGAATTCGTTTGATACCGCCTCTACTTGCCTTGGATGTTATCTTTAAGAATTTTACTGTGGGGTTTTGTGCCTCCGTTACCGAGTCTTTTCCCGCCTTTTACGCGTTCTGTCAATTTTGATTGTTGTTTTTTTTTAATTTGATATTAAAAGAACGAAGATTGAGAGACAATCGCTGCAGTCAATCTGTTAGCAGCCAGAGTGGCAAATTTGGGAATGAATCCGGGTTCTTGGACTTCATCTACTTTCCGTTAACCGATTTCAATAAAACTTTGCAATTAGATGTAATTCCACAAACTTTTGATGTCGGTTTTTTTATAAAAATGTTGTAATTATTATATACGTGTATGTTTTTCAAAAAGGTTTGTCAAAAAACAAATATAAGTGATTTAGATCCAAATAGGTTGGTTATAGCTCTACCAATTTTTCCAGTAATACAAATACTTCAAAGTATATAAATAAGATTACTACATTCTGTAAGTTATTTGATTATCTGTTTAAAAGAAAGGCCAAGTGATGAGATTTGGGGGTTGATGTTGCTCGCTTCCGTAGGTTTACCCTTGAGACCCTACAAGTGACCCCTGGGTGGTGCTAAAGAGCAATAACTACTGGTGGTAGGCTTCGGCCGTGGCTAGTCACCACCCTCCCGACGCAGTCGAGTCGCCAAATGGTTTTTACCGTGTTCCGACTCGTGTTCGGGAGTTGCCATTTGGAGGTCGGGTCTGAACAGTTGCATTGCGTCTGACGGCGAGTTGTAGCTGCTTGTACTGCCACACTGAGCACTCGGTTCTGGAGGCTAGCGGGATCCGAAGCACGGTGCACCGCTGGCCGACCGTGGGAAGTTGGGGGCCCAAGTAGCGGGAAAGCCACCCGTGAAAGGCTGCCCCGCCACCCAACGAAAAATCCCGGAATGCTCCACCTTGCCGGTTGGCGACCGGAAGGGAGGACCAGGTGGCCATCTCCGGGGGGGTTCGGGCGTCCCCGCGGTCTCCAAGCCGATTGTAACCTCGTGTGGCAGTATGAGTCTGCTGCTTGGTTGAACACGACGCAGTGCCTCGTTCAACTGCCTTCCTCCTGCCTATTCACTTCTCCAAATCCAAAAATGAAAAACTATAAAAATGGAAAAAAGTATACACAGCGGTTGCACGTCCTCCCACTAAAAGTGCACCTCACTAACATCCGAGGTCTGCACTCAAATCTCGATTCGGTCCACTACCACCTTGAAACCGACAAACCGCAGCTGCTGTTCCTCACAGAGACGCAGATCAGATGTCCGACTGACGCAGCGTACCTCAGCTACCCCGGGTATACTCTGGAGCACAGGTTCGTACCTCGTGCCGGAGTCTGTGTGTACGTTCGCGATGACATCTGTGTCAAGCGTCTCAAGAACCTTGAGGCACCGAGTTTTTCAATTTTGTGGCTTCTGGTTGACACAGGAGTTACACAAATAGTGTACTGCTGTGTTTACCGATCGCACAGTGGAGACCAGGAAACGACCAAGCTGTTCCAATATCTAAGTGAGACGTCTGATGAGATTCAGCATAGGTACCCAGCGGCGCAACTAGTCATTCTGGGGGACTTTAATGCACACCATCAAGAATGGTTGTTCCCATACCAGAAGACCGATCACGCTGGGAGAGAGACGCGTAAACTTGCGTTAACGCTAAGCTTATCCCAGCTTGTCAGTGGCGCCACTAGGATACCAGATGTTGAATCTCATACGGCTAATTGCTTGGACCTTCTGCTGACAACTGATCCGGACCGATACTCTGTGGTTGTGGAGGCCCCACTGGGTACTTCCGACCATTGTCTGGTGAAAACTGTATCCGTATACTCCCCACCCGATCAGGGCCCTAGTGGTATGAGACGGGTGTGGCGATACAAGTTAGCAGATTGGGACGAAATGCGCCATTTCTTTGCGTCATATCTCTGGCAGGCGTGCTTTACTTCAGGAGACTCGTCGAGCTGTGCTGATGCTGTAGTCGAGGTCTTGCGTTTGGGTATGGAGTATTACATTCCATACTCTGATGTACCCAATGGACCCCAAGCTCGTCCATGGTTTAACGCTAATTGTAGTTGTGCTGAAGCACGTAAACAGTCCGCGTACCAAGCTTGGGCAGATGCTCGACTACGCAAAACTCCGAGTACTCAGAACATGAAGAAAGCTTTTAATAAGGCCGCCAAGAAGTGCAAAAGCATGTTACGTAGGGCCAAGTTCGACCATGTGCGCCGCATAGGAGCCAAGCTTGCCTCTTATCCAGCAGGCAGCAAATCCTTTTGGTCCCTGGCCAAAGCGGTCGAATCGAACTTTTGTCGCCCATCTTTGCCACCTCTGCTGAGGCCGGATGGCTCGCTGGCTCATACTGCGGAAGAGAAGGCGAATCTCTTTGCCTCACTCTTTGCAGAAAATTCGCGTCTAGATGCCGCAGGGACCCTACCACCTACTTTACCTCAGGCTGGCTGCACTATGGCGCCAGTTCGCATACGCCAAAAAGAGGTACTTAGAACTCTGCGAAATCTAGACGTGAATAAAGCTAGCGGGCCAGATGGAATTCCAGCAATAGTCCTTCGTAACTGTGCACCTGAGTTGTCTCCTGTTCTCACACGCCTGTACCGCCTCTCACTTGAGACTGGTGTAGTTCCCAGATCGTGGAAGCTTGCAAACGTGCAACCTGTACCAAAAAAGGGAAGCAGAGCTGACCCTGTCAACTATAGACCTATCTCAGTCACTTCCATACTCTGCAAGACTATGGAACGTGTACTCAACAACCGTCTCCTATCGTACCTTGAAGACAACGATCTCCTCAGTGATCGCCAGTACGGATTCCGACGAGGGCGATCTACTGGGGATCTTCTTGTGTATGCCTGTCACATATGGAGCGAGGCTATAGAAAAGCAAGGCGAAGCACTTGCAGTGTCTTTGGACATTTCTAAAGCCTTTGACAGGGTCTGGCACGCAAGCCTTTTAAGCAAGCTTCCCTCTTATGGGCTTCCCACTGACCTTTGCAATTGGATCTCGGATTTCTTGAGCGAACGTTCGATTCGAGTGGTCTTAGAAGGCTACTCTTCCGAACATATGGCGATAGATGCCGGAGTTCCTCAGGGTTCCGTACTGTCTGCAACTCTCTTTCTGCTGCATATCAATGATATGTTAATTCCAGGTACCTTTGCGTATGCTGATGACAGCACAGTTGTAGATAGGTACTTGACCAATGCAAGGGTCAGTGGAGAGGAAATCCAGTCTTGTCGAGAGTCCATGGTTAGCCGTTTAGATTTGACACTCCAGGCAGTCTCCGATTGGGGCAATGCCAATCTTGTCAAATTTAACGCTACCAAAACGCAGGCGTGTCTATTCTCCACAAAACGGAGTCCCTTTGAGCTGACTCCGACTTTTCGTGATATATCCATACCGATAGCCGATTGTCTCCAGCTACTTGGAATGGACCTGTCGTCCAATTTGAACTTCGGCAGATACATTGAATCCACGGCCAAAAATGCAGCAAGGAAGCTTGGGATCCTTTCCAGGGTGAGGCGGTACTTTACACCGGGACAGTTGCTCCAGCTGTACCAGGCACAAGTCCGATCGTGCATGGAGTACTGCTGCCACCTTTGGGATGGCTCTGCGACATATCAACTGGCCACTTTGGATTCAATTGACAACCGTGCCAAGAGACTTATAGGTGACTCGGAATTAGTGGAGGCGAAGCTGCAGAGCCTTGAACACCGCCGTAAAGTTGCCTGCTTATCGGTATTTTACAGGATATATCACGGAGAGTGTGCGATGGAATTACATGATTTAATTCCGCCTTCCCCTTTCCATCACCGGGGGACTAGGCGTAGGCTTGGGTTCCACCCCTATGTTGTGGATATTCCAAAGATTCGCACGAAGCGTTACGCTTCCACATTTATATGGCGAACGGCTATGGAGTGGAATTCCCTGCCTGCAGACTTGTTCCCTGAACGTTATAACTTGGACCTTTTCAAGGCGAGAGTGAATAGGCATTATTTAGGTGTGCATGCTCCATCGTCGACCTCATCGTCACTTTCCATCAGGTGAGATGGAGGGCAAATGCGCACCTATTATTTTTATTATATGTCCGCAGAGATCGGCTACTAAAAGGATAACAACGAAAATCAATACAAATTCATCACTTTTTGTTTCCTTCTCAAATATTTTCTATCGAAAATTTTCTGTGTTCATTTCATAACTTACTTCGGGCAAAAAAATCTCGGAGATGAGAACATAGGGTACTGTTCCCGCTCCAAAAGTGAATGAAATAGCATACAGGAATAACAGGCACATGGTCACCCATTGGGGAGCCCATTGGATTTGTAGTTGGATTCCAAGAAGAATACATGTCACACCAAGAACCATCGACGCGTAAGTCATAAGCGGCTGGAAAATATTGAAATTTCATGACTTTGCTTCTTATAACAACACAATGTATTTTTAGTAAGGTTACTGAACATGTTCCTAGCTTGCTTAAGCCTGCCTAGCTTTTAATAGCAGCAGAGCTCATTGTGAAAGAGTTTATCGAGGGAAGTACAGCCACCTTACCTATTTCTGCCCCCAAGCAGTAACGCGAGCATTACTGCATCCTGGTTCCGAAGAGTAAAGGTGCTAGTGCAATTACAGACACATGGGACTTGTCAACTTATGTTTCAGGGTGACGGGCACAGTGGACTGCTCTTTCGATCTTTGCGCTTTAAAGCATTGAGTAGAGCTGCAACTGCTATGGACAGGAGTGTCGCTTGATACCTTATAAAAAATAAAACATTCTAATAGCGTTCTTCATTACAAACATCTGCTTGTTGCTACTATAACCGCTCACGCGATTCATGCGTCTCTGGAAGCATACCACACCTAGAGGTGCCGGTGATGATTTTATACCGATTTATCGGATATCGAAGTTATAACAGGTAAAAGAACTAATACTCATTGCTATTTCGTTAACTACTCTAGCAAACCATAAAGTTTTTAATGTCTGGATCTGTCATTTAAAAAAAATAAACAACTTCAAAAATACGTCACGACAATCGTGTGTGTTATTGTCTGGGCTGGTGATGCCGGTGTTTATTTATTGAAAACATACCGTAAGTTGCGTTTTTTAAGTTTATCCTGAATATAAATGTTTATAAACTATACTTTAAGGAGTAATTTCTTGGTAAACATTAGAACCACTCAAACGGAATATTATCATATTTACCCAAGTACACCAAACATTTCATTAGTGCTTTTTAAGTGCATGATTTGCGGTGTATTACTGCATTTTATTTGAGATGTTTTTATTGTAGTACGGAGGGTATTTATTTAGCAATGCAGAATAATAATTTTTATTTTTAAAAACTTGTATTTAAACTGAATCCTTTTCTAATTTGCGAAACCAAATAGCCGCCATTTTGCGGTAGAATGAGCGCATCGCGTGAGCGGTTATGGTACTGATTAAAGTGTTACCGGTTTTAAGACCAGGATGTGATTAGCACTTTGCTACTTCCGGGTATCAACTCTTCACACTAAAACTTTTAACATAATCTTACCTTTCTACCAAGAATATCACTCAAAAAGCCAGCTAACACCCCAAATATAACAGTGACTAAGGCCATGAGAACTGTACCCAGCTTCGTAGAGATGTTTGGAGTAGCTTTGGTAAATACGGGTTCGGCGTATACTTGCAATGCTGGTAGACCTTGAAATATACTTAGTATTATGACAGTAGATACGAATAAACCTCGGCGAGTTGAAGGTGATTTTTCTGAAACGAGACACAAATATTCAAATGTCACACAGGGTCAATATTTATTTTATTAGTTGTTCCAGATCTTGTCCAAAAAATTATTTTCGTATATTCGAAAGCAACCTCTACTGTAAAAATTGCTATGTAGAACCTCTATAAAATATCGTGATATCAAAAAACAACGTTTTTTAAACTAAATTGCAGAAGCTTTACCGTATAAGAGGATGGTAATGGTCGCTCCGTAATGCTGCTTAATTTATACATCTAACCTAAATTGAGGCAACTTAAATATACTTTGTACAGTATCTTGGCTCCGTTCGACGAACAGACGGCCATTATACTGTTACATCACCCAGTCTCTCGTATGTTGGGCACACTGTTCAGTTGTCTCCTGAGTCTCTCGGACCAAACACATCCATCAAAATATTGTGTCATGTCGTTAAAGGAGAAATCGATCGTGTCAATGTATTTTTTTCATAGTCGACGTGTAAGAAAACCTTAAATTAATTTCAACTCACTAAAATGTTGCCAAACAGATTCTTTCTTCTTCGGTTTGATCTCATGTTCTTGGTTAAGTTTCTCCTGTTCAGGCGATAAAGCTGTAAAGTCAATATTTTTTCAGCACATAAATATGTTTATATAAATAGTTAAGCAATTCTTGCGATATTCATTAAATAAATATAATTATTATCCATTAAAGAAAAAGATTCCACTCACTCTGAAGTTCCGTTTCGGGACTGAGAATTCTTTTAAGAGATTCCAACTCTAATAAAACTTCTTTAGAGTTCAGTGATGTTTTTCTGTAGTAGGCTATTGTTTTCACAGCTTCCTACAAACGGATTTAGCTTTTAATAACAATATCGTACAGGTTTAACATATATTCCATATTATTTATATTAATCACCTGTTGACGATCTTTCTTCATCAGATAAATAGGAGATTCCTTTAAAACGACTACCGCAGAAATGACACCCAGCACAGCCATTGATAAATTTGAATATATCACTATTTCATATTCCAGTCCTGCCATAATATAAGAAACCATCATTCCTATGGAGTACAAGATTATAGTACATGCTGCCATAGTTCCTCTTATTGATTCCTGACAAATTTCTCCGATGTAAACCGGCACAACAACGAGAGCTCCACCACCCAGGCCGCCTATGAACATCGCTGTTAAGATAACTTCCACTTTGTTCATTGTAGCAATTAGGACCCAGGTAATCTGGAAATTTAGAAAATAATTTTGGGATTTCCAGATTATAAAAAAGGGTTGCACTAAAAAACGAAAAACAAGGATCTGCAACTACACACATAAAAAAATTAGTAATGTTCGCCGGTTTGTTCCACGGCTTAGTTGACATAGCGTCTGGCACGGTTAATTAGAAGACGTTAGTTCGTATCCGGCGGGATCGAAGTGAAGAATATGTGTTGGATCTTGGTTATTAATAATTACAACAAACTGAATGAATATTATGGTGGTAGAACATAAAAACTTGAAAATTAAAACGGTCCACCTTTTAACAGCTTTCCTTGATGAAGTTAACGTTGCACAAAACTGTCATTTAGGAATTAATTCACTTGCAGTTGTTCAAACAATTTAACTGCCTGTGGCGAGATATCTGTCCCAAATAAAGATTTAAAGTAATTGCAAAAGAAATCTGTAACAAGCACATAGAGAAATTTGTAATATCTGCTGCCTCGGTCTATGGCTCAGTTGGTAAGAGCAGTGACCCCAGTGTGGCAACAGATGCTGGTTCGAGTCTAATCAGATAAAATAAATTTTGCTTTGTGTTATTCAAACTTAGTATCAATTTATTGATTTATTAGCAACACTACCATTATGTTCACAACACATTTTTACTTATTTGACTTGGGTGTTCTATATTGTAAACAACAATTATACGTGTTGACGGCAATTTTAAAACAAAAATCACGAACTAAATTAAAATTTTTGACACATTAACATACTTATATAATTTAAACTAGATAGCAACAGAATACACTTTATTATTTTTAATTTTCTTTAGAAAGAATCGATATTATCACCAAATAAACCTAAATCAGGGGGCCTACTATGAGATCTTAGAGCAATCCTATTTAAGCCTGTAAGTTGAATTGCCTGTCAAATTCGTACTATGACCTCACAAAAACAATTCACAGTCCATGCAGTTTACGTTCCCTATTCGAAATCCGTTCACCTTTTCTTTCATAACATGACGTGCTATTTGCCATGCAAATGGCGGTCCCATCTGTAAAAATAAGCAATTCAAAAAAGTTACTCCATGACTAACTTTTTTTTAGATGTTACATTTTTAAGAAATTTCGTTTGAGTTTTATCATATTTTCAGTTCCATAATTATTTGTTACCTTTTTATGCTACATCCAATTGTCAATAAATAAATACTATTAACTATTGAACGTTTTTTGATCCAAATTTTTTTGGCCGAAAATCGTATATAACCACAAATAGAGACGAAATAAGGGCCATATATTCCTGGTAACACATTAGCGATACAGCTCTTATAAATATCAACTCCCGTTTGCACTGAAATATAGACAGGGCAACTACTGACCAGTGTGTACGTCTCCGTATATTCCAAAAAATATTCTGTATTTATTGTAATAAAGATAACATCTCTAACAATGCCGCCCTGTTTTATTTTTAAAAACAGCAAAACATCTAATTACAAAAGAAACGGAATTACATTTCATCGGTAATTAAATATTAAATATGTAATTTTGCAATTTTCGTCCATTATAGCAAAGCTCAAGTTAACTGGTCAATTTGAAGTGAAACAGTTCACGACACCCATTGACGACACCCGTCAATTGTTTCGAATTCGGGCTGGCCAATCGAAGCGCAGTTGTCACAGTAATGATATGGCAGAATAGTTTTCAAACAAATTAAATGACATTTCGTCTCTATTTCTCGTTATATACTCGATGAATGCAAACAATGAAAATGTACGAATACAAGATACGTTCCAATTATGTTATCAAATTACAAACTCTTCTTAATAATTTCAATGATTATGACTAAACACGACATGTAATTTTGTCGTGCGACAAACTATAAAGTATGATTGAAAAGTTGCCGATATTACAAAACAACGTAATAAGTATAATTAATAATAAAATAAATAAAAAAATATAATTCTCATTTTTAACACAATCGGTTAATAGTGCTTGAACGCTCCCAGGATACTATCTAGTATCTGTCTATTTCTTACATATGATTTAGCATGTCGTTCCATCTCGTTCTTGTTAGATGTCAGCCAGCCAGCCAGAGACAATAATTAACGTTTAAAAAGTAAAATTCATAGTCCTACCATGCCATTCCCGTTCAACTTTGTGTAGGTCATAATAGTGAATTGTATGGAACCTGACTCGCTGGTTATAAGCTCATAGTAGGCCCCCTGCACCGCAAACTTTTGTTTTATTATATCTTTTACACATTCTTTTAATAGACTAGTGACATCGGATCTTTTTTTCTATTCTCTAAGCATTGGATATTAGTACGACAAGTAATAGGGAACATAAAAAGTTTTACAAGGTTTTCGAGGACTGACAAAACATTTTGCCCTAGAATACTACTACAGTCTATCTTATTGTTTAAAATATTATAAAGTAATATGAGGTCATGTTTAATACGTCACTCTTGAAGAGATTCAAGCTTAAAAAAGGACAACCTTTGATAAGTGCATCTATGTGAAATGCCGGAACTAAAATAGGCCAAATGCCGGATAAAAGAGCGCTGAATAGATTCAATATAAGGATTCCATACTGGACATGCAAATTCTAAATGACTACGTACTAAAGAAAATTAGTTTCGTTGTACTGTGGAAAAACTTTGTATGTCGTTTTAAAAAACCTAACATTTGAAAATTTTTATTAACAATAGCGTTAATGTGAAAATGGAAAGACAGCTTGTTATTCAATAGAATTCCTAGATCACGTATTTCATCTATGTTTTCTAGTGGTATGTTACTAAGTTTATACGTATTGTACTCGATGTTTTTTTGTAGTAAAATTTATATGGAAGCATTTTTTAACATTTAAATTCATGTTGTTTACCGTACACCATTGCCATATTCGGTTTAAGTCGTCTTGTATTAGCTCGCAATCATTAATAGAATTAACTGTATGGTATAAGTTCAAATCATCACCAAAAACTTCAAATTTCCTTTCTGTGACACTCCAGAGGTAGAGAGAGAATAGATGTCTGACCAAATCAATTAACAGCACAAACTAGGATCTTTTCTCTAAATATGATTTAAACCAATTTAAAAGTGAACCATGTATACCGTTTGAACAAAGTTTACTTAGAAGAATCAAGTGATCAACTTTATCAAACGCACTATGGAAATCGGTATAGACTGCATGAGTTTCCCTGCCATCATCCATATTTTTAGACACATCAGAAAGAAATGAAACCAAGTTTGAATTTACCGAACGACCGCTACGAAATCCATGCTGATTATTGCTAACAACATTTCGTATATGTTTAGAAAGTGTTGGGGAAACAATATATTCAAAAATTTTACTAAAACACGAGAGAATTGAGATAGGTCTATAATTTGCCACATTACCTATTACACCTTTTTTTTAATAGGCACAACACTGGGCTTCTTCCAATCGTAGGGGAAAACACCATTCTTTAATTAATTATTGAAAATTATACATAAAGGCAAAGCAAGCGATGCAATGCTGCGTTTAATGAAAAGGGGATGGATACCATCAGGACCACTACCTTTAAAAATGTTAATCTGTCTTATTTTTTATAAATATTTATTTTTCAGATAATGAAACTACGCCCATATAATGCTTCTCTCCTCTATCGGCACGAGTATATTGACAATTTACATTTTCATTGTTAGAAAAAACTGATGAGAACTGAGAAGCAAAAAGATTGGTTATTTCAAGTCCGTCATTGACAGTTATCCCGTTTAAATGCATACGAGCTAGCAGTGAAGATTTACTACTTCTCTTTTCCCTTCGATGAATATCCAAAATGCTCTTGGGTTCTTCCTAATATTCATCTCAACATTCTGCTTATAATTTATGGCAACGTTCTCGAATTATGTGAAACTCGAAGCCATCTCGTGGGTTACCATACTTGCGATACCTTAGACGTAATTTATTTTTCTCTGACAAAATTCTTAGAAGTGAATTATTAAACCAAGGTGGGTGTTTCGATAGTTTTTGTGTATATTTTGGAACATATTTATATATAATTGAGTTCAATATACCGTAAAATATAGAAACCATGTCATTTATATTCAGTTCACCGTGCAAAACATTGCTCAAGAAGTCTCCCTCAGTGCATTTTCTATAGCATCATATTTATCTCCGAAATTAACTGTTATCATTAAACTTGGATGATGAGGATCTAATTTACATAATATTTCAACTGTTTCATTAACCTTTACATCAGATTAAGTATTAAATCCAATATATTATTATTACTAATACTGTTATACTGATTCAGATTATTACAAGACATGAAAACAATTAAACTATATCCCAAATGGACTATTATAATCAACAGGAATAGTGTAGTTAGCATCTCTTTGTAAATCCCAAGTTACAGTACTTTGATTAAAATCACCAACAATAATAGGTCATCTACATCATTTATATTTGTATTACTGGTTTAGTAAATTCATTGAGCATTTCCAATCTGACAGGAGGAGGTAGATAGACTGCACAGATAGCGATTTTTTCAAAGTTCTGTTAAATTTTAATTCTATAGTGACCCAAAAATCTTCACATGAGCTTTCCCATTGATTTATGCGGTTAGATTGTAGGTCCCTGGACACAGCTATTATCACACCTCTCCTGTCCTGTTTGGTAGATCCAGTACATTCACGGTCCCATTCACGGTACCATTGATGATATCTATCATCAATGAAGTCACTGTCCTTTATTGAGGAATTTAGCCAAGTTTCAGTTAGAATAACAATTTTATAATCATTAAGTAATATATTCCTAAAAACCTCATTCGTTTTAGTACGCATTCCTCTAACGTTCTGTTAAAATAAACTTAAAGAATCGAATTATAAATAATCAACATAACAACATTCGTGCAGTTTTGTAGTACGTAATAATAACAACTAAATTATAAACATAAACATATCTTCTAGCTTGTATTCTTAAGACCATCCATACCACCAATAAGTTTCGCCGGAATATATTCATTCATAACTGCCTCTGTGGCCGAACGGTTACCATGCCGGACTGCCACGCAGAGGTCCCAGGTTCGATTCCTGGGCTGGAAGAAATATTTGTATGGCCCACATTTATTTCTCTCGTGGATTTGGTGTAATTTGTGGTTGTCTATGTGCGTGTCCATGGCACCCGCGACACTGGGTTTCCCTGGTGCGGGGCTATGTCGAGTGTGTGTCTACGTTATATCCTTTCTCATATAAATTCTGCCATCACGTACCCAAATAAATTTACATGATAACTCCTTAGCTCTCTGACGTGCAGCATGCAACTGTAATTTGTAAGCAGCAGCAAGAAGTGAATCACGTTGACGCACGTTGAGTAAATTCACAATTATTGCTCTTGGCCTATTAGTATCTTTATTGGCCTTAGCAATTTGTGTAATATTGTGGATGTCATCCTCAGTGATCAAACAATCCACAGTACGTGCAAGTTGCATTACAGTATTTGAAAGATTTTCCGGAAGAATGTTCTGGGACTCCATTAAATTGTACATTGCACTCTCTCGTGTGTTGTTCTGCCTGACCAAGCCTATTGGTTAGATCATTAACAGTCAATATCAAGTGCTTATTATCTACTCGCATTTTTTTTAACCAAGGCATTCATCATATTCGTTGCACTCTTATGATCCTCGTACTGCTTGGTGATAAAAATCATAGAATCCTGAAAACTTAGCGCCTGGTTATTAATACTTTCAAGTTGTTCAGCAACAAGCTCTTTGGTAGCTATCTTAACAGATTGTCTTACTTCCTCCTTAATAAGGTGTCTCAAATGGTCTTCAGAAGAAACATCGGGCATGGGATAGTTCACAGAATCTTTCAATATTATGGGTGTGACAGCATAATATGTTTTGGTATCAATGACAGATTTTGATCTCATAGTGACATTTGCAACTTGAACAGGCGAGCTGTTTTCAGAATCAGAAGATTTATTGCAGTTGGAGACATTAGGCGGACGAAGAGGGGTCTCAGAATTACCCGTTTTGCGCATCTTGCTGGAACATTCGGGCACCTCCAGTTAGATTTACGATCTTGATCAGGGGCATAGCACTATGAAAGCGTTTTGACGATATTTGAGCACATTCTAAATCATACTTGAGGTTGCATGAAGAGCACACCATGAACTCTCGGTTTTTAAATAAGTTCCGACAACCAGCACATTTACCATAATTCGGCGCCATAGTAAAAACAAAACAAAAAATCACATAAAGCGGAAATCGCCTCATACTTATTAGATTTTATATTAGAGATATAGGTTATATATTACATAGCGACGAAGCGGTGCTTGAGTATGTGTGAGTGCATGGGTAACCTTGCGCGCATGCAAGCGGCCGTTTAATTATATCTTCGAAACCACTGACTTATTTGTAAGTCAATGTTCGAAACTATATAATTCATTCACAAATCTCTTGAAAATGCAAACAATTTACTACTTGTTATCTTGCTATTTATACTATCATATGATGTAGTTCCTAATAAGATAGAACTTTAACACAAAATATGAATTAAAAATTGAAGAGCAAACTAACGAGGTGTTGTCTTGACGAGTCGCGCACACTGACATCAATATGTGACAGCAATCAATAACAATAACAAACTAGTGGAATTAAAAATTCATAGTAAAAACTATATGATAATCAACAAAATAACTTAAGAGTCCAGGGAAAGCATGATCAAAGTCACTTGAGGAGAATTTTAGTAAAAAAGAATCTTTATTTTGGAGAAATACTGGTGAAAAAGACACAAATACTTTACGCTTAATTCCTTTGGTTTTTTTTAAAGCACGCACTCATAGCCCCGTATTAGGGAAATCTGTATCGCGGGTGCCATGGACACACTCAGAGACAACCACAAGTCACACCCAAATTCACATGAGAAATAAATGTAAGCCATACAAATATTATTCCTGGCCTGGGAATCTGTGTGCTAGTTCAGCATGGTAGCCGTTTGGCCACGGAGGCAGTTATGCTACCTGAAGTCAAGTATGTAACGCTATATAATCCATTTTAACTAAAAAAAAATTATATATCATTTTTAACTGTTCTGGCATTTAGTCGCAAGCATTTTTATAACTAAAAGTAAAAGCAAATTTTTCACGATATTGAACATTATTAGCCTTTTTCTGATTTAGTCAAAACTGGATGGCGTTATTAACTGAAAATGTGTTTTAAGTGACGTTGATCATTCTTTCCCTGGTCTCTTCAAATATAAATGCAAAAAACTTACTACAGGCACTATAAAACTTGCCACAGCAGTATGTTTTCTTCCAACAGCATCCATTAAGTATGCTAAAACTGGAGTACTAATTAATGGTGCCAATGATGAGAGGCTGCCCAGCAAATTCATTTCAGATTCCGTTATAGGTCGATCCAACTTGGTATCGTTTGACATGAACATGTTGATCGTGCCAGATGGCCATGTGAACACCAGGCCTAGGTTAAAGCTTAAGGTGGATACTGGAATAAAATATTGTTTCGACATTGAAGAGAATGACGTAGATTTAATATTGAAAAGGGGAAGCAGTGTCTACGCTTGTCACAATGAAAGCAATTTTTATGATTTAAGTTTTATGAAAAAGCTTACGATTGAATAGTTTAGAGAGAGGTATACGAAGAGCCTACCTCAATAGGCAATAGATGTGTTATACTTACTGACTATAGTCCCAATAACTTGATTTAAAATAGACATTTTGAAATCACGTATTGCTATAATTATTGTAAATATTTTATTATTCTCTAAAGTCTGTACAGACACTTCACAACACCGCGAGGCGTAGCGATGTTTAGGTGTCACCTTCGCCCTTATTGGGGCAATATTGGACAAACAATAAATCGGAATAAACCAGAAGAAGGTACATTCAACAAAGATGCCAAAATAAAAAAGACTTTAAAATTGTGCACAATGACAGTTAAAACTTTAACCTGGAAATAGTAAGGATTTGTTTTACAACAAACTTCATAAAGTTATCTATTCCGTGCTCTCTGTGCAATTAGACTCTGGAAGACTAGTTTTAACCAAGGGTTTTGCTTACTCATTAAGATATGACTGTAATTATTAATACAAAGATAGAACAATTAGAAAAACATCCTTCGAAAACCAAAAACAAAGATCTGCAAGAGGCACATACAAAAATTCGTAAGGTCCGCTGGTTTGTTCCGTGACTTATTTGGCTTAGCAACTGGCACGGTTTGCTAATAGACGTTGGTTCGAATCCAGCCGGTTCGAAGGATTTTGTTTGAATTGTTCGACCTTTGTATTAATAATTATAATTAATGGAGTAATTTCACAAAAAAATACTAAATATCATTGTGGTGAAACATTCTGATATTCAATAAACTTAAATATGATTATCTAATTGAATATATTCGTTATTTCACTTAAGAAGTATTGAACTTTATATTATTGAGCTACTATAAAAACATCAAGTAGCTATGATTCGTGAAAAATGGAGAAGGCTACACTGAGAACAGCATCGCTCTTAAGTAGGATAATAATTAGTTTATTATTATGTTTTCTTGTGCTATCAAGTGACGTAACGACAAATCTTACACCTGGTGGTAAGCAACTGGCTTATCCATAACAGTTGCAGGCCACTCAGAGCTTTAAATCACAAAGATCTGAGGAGCACTGCCACTGCGTCCGTCATTCTGAGACATAAGTTGGCAAATCCCACGTGGCTGTAATTTGACCAGCTCCATTACCCTTCAAAACCGAAATGCAGCAATGCTCATACATTACGGCTTTGCGGCAGAAATAGGTAAGGTGACAGTACTTCCCTGGACGAACTCTTTCACAAGGCGCTCTACTGCCAGTAAAACAGTACAAATTGTATGATAGCTTTTTCATCCATAGTGGTATTTGAAATGATTATTGAAACGTTCTGGTTATTTGTTATCCGCTCACGCGATACATGCAGCCGTAGACGCATACCACACCTAGAGGTGCCGGTGATGATTTTATACCGATTTATCGGATATCGAAGTTATAACAGGTAAAAGAACTATATTAATTGCTATTTCGGTAATTACTCTAGCAAACCATAAAGTTTTCAATGCCTGGGTCTGTCATTTAAAAAAAAAAAACAACTTCAAAAATTCGTCACGACAATCGTGTGTGTTATTGTTTGGGCTGGTGATTTCGGTGTTTATTTATTGAAAACATACCGTAAGTAGCGTTTTTTAAGTTTACCCTGAATATAAATGTTTATAAACTATACTTTAAGGAGTAATTTCATGGTAAACGTTAGTCCCACTCAAACGGAATATTATCATATTTATCCAAGTACACAAAAAAATTCATTAGTGCTTTTTAAGTGCAGGATTTGCGGTGCACTACTGCATTTTACTTGAGATGTTTTTGTTGGTAGTACGGAGGGTATTTATTTAGCAACGCAGAATAATAATTTTTATTTATAAAAACTTGTATTTAAACTCAATCCTTTTCTAATTTGCGAAACCAAATAGCCGCCATTTTGCGGTAGGAGGAGCGCATCGCGTGAGCGGTTAAGCTTATTTTATTATTAGACTCTCGTTTTGTTTTACGTGTTTTTTCCTTTTTTTGTGCTTTTTCTATTAATCATTTCGATCATGAGCGGCGCAGAATGAGCCACCTAGGCAAATGAAAACTGCCAAAGGCATATAGTCAACTTCAGCTAGTGCGATAAAGTAGTGACTTAAAAACCCTGGAGGCCACATGAGAAACTCGAAGCCATGAGAAACTGGTCGCCTTGACTATGTTGATAGTACACCATACTAATATGTAATAATAGCATCTCGTGCATGCATGCATGAGTTGTCCACAAAATTGATTTGTTTTAATGCTGATCGATTTTGTCTTCCGATACAATAAAATAAATTTAATGATTCCTGAGGAAACTGAGTCGAATAACATATCAAGAAATGTTTGTAGTAATAATTATAACAAACTAGTGGAGTAATTTAAAAAAAATGAATACCAGTTCAATACAAATTTAATTGCAGATAATAGAGATCTCTAGCCAGGGCTGGTGTAAAGTTAACTTACTGGGTGACGAAATACTTTCATAGATTTCTCATAGATAGAGCCAAGGCTAAAAAGTCGTTGAAAACCAAATACAAAGATCTGACAACAAGCACATAGAAAAATTCGTAAGGTCCGCTGGTTCGTTTCGTGACTTAGTTGGCATAGCGGCTGGCACAGTTTTCTGGAAGACGTCAGTTCGAATCCGGCCGGATCGAAGGGTTTTTTCTAAGTGTTTGATCTTTGTATTAATAATTGTAAGAAACTTAGTGTAGTAATTTCACAAAAAAAATTGAATATCAATTCAACACAAATTTAATATGCCAAAATTGTTTTCACAAAAAGCCCACTGGTTCCAAAAATAGTTTTCCTGTATCTCCTGTGGTTTCTGATTTACGATACAGTCCATGTTAAAAAACACTGTATATTTCTAATAGTATGACTAACAAACAGCGTTTATATTTCAGTTTTTTCTGTTTTGCTCATATAAAATGTAAGACGGTGTAAACAGTTTAAAAGATAGTAGTAATTAAATAAAACATAGTAAAAGCAAGATAGGAGGACGTGATAATTATGCTTATCATAATGATAACAGATTTATCTCTTAAGAAAAATTAAAGTTAATCTGTTCATTATAGTATTAGTGTACCTTTATAATTAGGCAATCTATATTCCGATAACGAATGAATAAAACTTTAAAAAAGTAGGGCGTGAAGGTTTCTTATAATGTTGGTATATTTGCTTAATTTTTATTAAGCAATAACCAGAATTATTGTATCCAAAAATTAATAGACTGTCTGGGGGGGGGGCAAGGGCCGGTAACTACCTTGGCCAACGCATTAGCATAGCTATATAAAGGGGGAACGCAGAGTCGTTGGTAACTTGTCGCGGGTCCCAATTTTATTCACGTAATTTAAACCAGTTTTAATTTCTAGTATTTAAGCGTTAATAATAAAACAGAGTATTGCTTAACGAAAATATTGGAAATTAATGAAAATTCATTAATGAGAATTCGGAAAATAGTTTCGTAAAAATTTTGCTTGTAACTGACGTTCACTAATACATAAACATAAACTAAACAACCCCACCTACGGGTGTTTCAAAAGTTAATAATATATAATCTCAGTACAGAGTACTAAAAAACCGACCGAAAATCGGTACTCACTACTCAAAGTATATTGAGAAAAAACGCCTTGAATTGGAGAATAGCAAAATCAACCATAAAAATAATTGCTCCTTAAGTAAAATTTTGGCGCTATTTATAAAATGAATTTTCATGCGTGAACAGCTACCCTTAGAGGTGGATGATTTTCTTTAAAATGAAATGGGGCCACTATGGAGGTACCTCCTTTTCAACAAAAAAATAATCATGAAAATTGATTCACAAATACCGGAGTTATCGCGTAACATACATATGAAAAAAAAAACATAGTCGCATTGAGAACCTCCTCCTTTTTTGAAGTCGGTTAAAAATATCTCACAATCTGAAGGTACAATTGATGCCTTAAGATACCTGACAACTTGGTTCTGAGAAGATCAGTGTGAAGAAAAGTGTTAAACAAATCTAATCTTTGACCTGTAAGCCGTAAAATTAATTTTCATATGACTTCCTTATCGCGTCATTAATAAACGACGATTTAATAATCTGTTTAAGCCAATTTAATCTTTAATTATACTTCGTTATTGTATAATATAATAGAAAATTAGTGTAATAAAAAGTGTTAAACAAATCTAACCTTTGACCTGTGAGCCGTAAAATTAATTTTCATATGACTTCGTTATCGCGTCATTAGTTAGCGACGTTTTAGTCTAAGCGAATTTAATCTTCGTAACAAACCTATTTTATATCGTACACTTTACTAATCAAAACTTTACGAAATCTTTGTTTGTCAGATCGTAATCTAAAAATTCCGCTAGATGGCATTAACTCTTGTTACTTAATTTCTGCATCGCGGTGTTAAGATTTTCACTCGGATGGTGACTACTTGAACCGGATTTTTTATATTTTTTATTTATGTGTCAACAGTTGCTGACCTTGCGGTGCATCACAGATGCCCCGCGATATGTGAGGGATGACGTCATCCAACGGAATTTGAGCATGGAGAGCCTCGACAGCTTCGTGGATCGGCCCGACCAGGACCATGTTCCGGCGCGCCGGACAATGCCTGTATAGCCATATACAGGGACTGGCACCACGCCCTGACCAGAAACTGCTTCCAAGGGACCTACTTGGGCCCGAGGAAGCCCCACCGGACCAGACACCAGCTGCTGAAGATGGTGGAGAAACCTCCCGGGCCACCGGCAGGGACTCCCATCTGAAGCAGCTCACACCATTATGACACCCGAGGGTTATACCCAACCCCAGGACCCGCTCGTCTCCACGAGTGGCGGCCGCCGAAAGAGGCCGATGCCTCGAACGGCGATTTATGTGTGAGAAACATCAGTACTATTGGTACGTATCTAGGAGTTGAGTCCTTGTGGAAACGACTGCCTGGATCTATCTGATAGTTACTTTTATACTTTTTGCATTTGTACATGTAGTACCGCTCTCACCGGTCACAATTAACTTGGCACCTTGTATGAATACTTTTGGAAATAAAACCTGACATTAGACTGGATGTTTTTTTACTCAATTTGGTGACGTCATCAAGTAACAAAAGAACTCCATCTACATCTTTAATTATTCTTCGTTAATATAAATTTCAACCAAAAAGCTTAAATTCCTTTACACGTCTCGTTGAATGCGTAAAAAACAAAATGTCGGCGAGGTCACGTAGGATCACACTTAGGGCGTTGATTGTATATAAT